GCCGGTACAGCGGTGGTGGTGGGAGCCTCTCCTGCTTCCTCAGCAGAGCTAAGGATGTCCGACTGCAGCTTAGGTCTGCTCCCTGCTGGCAAGTGGACATCCCTGGAGGGCTCGGGGGCTGCCAGAGGGATGTCTGATTGCCATCTTAGGCCCGATCCTCCCAGGGAGCAGGCCTAAGCCAGCAAGTGGTCATCCCCCAAGGGGTCCCAGACTGCAAGAGGGCACAGGCTGGGCTGAGGGATTCCCACCCCCGCCCGAGTGCACAAATTTTTGTGTACCAGGCCTCTAGTTTAAAATAATACTGATACAAAAAGCTTAAAATCCTATCATAGTCCACAAGTTAAACTAGGAGCTTTTAGGCTAATGAAGTTTCTGGCTCAATCTGTCTCATAGAAGTCCAGCAGGTCCACTATGTGGTTATTTCCCCAAGGCTTTGAGTGTATAATTGAGACAAACAGACTTAGTATCTAGCCAAGCACTCATATTATCTAACTGACATAGCGATCAAGGCTCATTATGGCAGGAAGGACCAGGTAATCAAGTGGAACCCATGGCCAAAATAGTAATAAGAAGCGTTTCAGTATTAAGAAGTTAACATGAACATGAAAGATTTAAAGGTACTATGAATTAGCATCATATTTTTTCAATTCATCTTTGTGGCATAAACAAGTCATTATAAACAGGCAAAAGGTAACCTCAAATGCAATACTTTACCAGATATTATTTTATTGCTGGAAGAAATAAAAAAAAATTAAATCAGAATCACTGCCTGAAGGCCTGGAGGGTCCTATCAATTGAATGCCAGGATTATATTTGTGTTCATGTTTTATCTTCTTTTCTTAAATAGAACCTCAAATTGTAAAAGTTTCAAGTCCTGTGTAACACAGATTGACCTCTGCAAATAGGGCAGTGATCCAGTACTTTAACCACTTTTCAATCAGTAATTAATTAATCAATAAGAGTTTTAACAATAAAAATGCATTATTATACCATTTGAATAATTAAAAATAGAATTAAAAATACATAAAGTAAATCTTCATCCCCAATTCCACCTTCTAGCATACTTACTATGGAAAATATTTTCGACAGCATACACATAACTTTACTTTTTTTTTTTATTAAAATGTGGACCCAAACTGTTCCACCACACACATCCTGGGATTTGGTCTTGAGTTTATGCTTTGACAAAGAAAGATGCTCATAATTTATTATTAAGAGAGAAAAAAATCAGGTTACAGGACAGTATGTGTGATATTCCTTTTGTGTTTATAGACAGTGATTATATAAACAAAAGGATCAGAACAATATTTAAATTGTGAATAGTAGTTATCTCTGAGAAGTGGAATTATTGGAATGTGGAAAGGATTTCCTTTGTTTGTTTTTTAAAATATTTCCAGTTTAAACTGTCCCTGACTTGCTCTAACCAGTTTTGCTCAATGGATAGAGCGTCGGCCTGCAGGCTGGAAGGTCTCAGGTTCAATTCCAGTCAGGTGCATGTACCTTGATTGCGGGCACATCCCCAGTGGGAGGTGTGAAGGAGGCAGCTGATCGATGTTTCTCTCTCATCAATGTTTCTAATTCTCTATCCCCCTCATTTCCTCTCTATAAAAAAAATCAATAAAATATATATTTTTAAAAATTGTCCCTGTCTTATAAACAAAAGTATTTCTATTAAAAGTACAGTGAAGCCTGGAAGGGTGGCTCAGTTGGTTGGAGCGTTATTCCATACACCAAAAAAAAAAAAAAAAAAAATGCAGTTAGATTCCAGTTGAGGCACATACCTAGGTTTTGGGTTAGGTCCCTGGTCAGGGCCTATACGGGAAGCAACCTATCAATATTTCTCTCCCACATCAATATTTCTCTCTTTCTCTTCCTTCTTGCTCTAAAAATAACCTAAAAAAAAACAACATAAAATCAGATGAGGATTTTTAAAAAGTACAGTAAAAATGAGTGAGAGGTGAGGAAGGTGAGAAAGAAAGAGGGAAAACCAGCATCAGTCATTTCCAGAAGAGGAAATTAAAAGGACACTATCTGAAGTAGGATGCCAGAAGGTGTTAGCTCCTGATGGCCACCTCCCAGAGCTAAGCTGGACTCCATAGTTATTGATGATTAGAATAGAGCTGGACATATAATGAAAATTATTCCATGTAATTCTTTTACCAGATAAAACTTCCTCCTTTTTTTTTTTTTTACAGATATTGCTTTCTTAATGTATTCCATAAAATAGTATTTACTGATGAATTTGAATATGTCGGATACCTTGTGATATTAATGAACACATTCCCTATTATAATTTCTTGGATGCCCACAATAGATGACGTCTATGAGGATGAATTAAGACAATCTAACTACGTATTTATGGGATTTTACATCCTGGAGTGCCTAGTTAAGGTAATCAAAGTGTGTGTGTGTGTGTAATATTCAAGAGAAAGATTTCCTAACTTCACTTTTCAACACTAGCTACAATTTTCTAAGTATAAAATTCTCTTCCACTTCTCAAACAAATAAACTTTGGTTCTTAAAGATAATTTTAGGGTGACTCAATATAACATAACCATACTTAAGGATTAGTGTGTGTCAAAGGGACCCAGAATGAGTTTCACAGGTATTAGAAATGTTCTTAAACTTAGAAAGGTAGTAAACACATGGATGTTGGTTTTACTATTTTTACACTAACTAGATAAATAAATGGATAAATAGATGGATAGATACTCATTTATATAAAATGATATCGTAATTTGATTTTTAAATCCAATATAAAGATAGTTATCAAATAATGGAAATATATAGCCACAAATTGATAACAATATTGTGCCATATGGATCAACAAGTTGTAATATATTTTAGCTAGAAAGTTTAAATAAAATAAGTATATCTGATACTTATTTTGGACAAAATTAATGAGTCTCAAATTTTTAATGAGAAATTAAAATGCTACTGCAGAGTGATAATGTTGGAGAGGGGATAGACTCACAACCCATCACGTTACATGTGATAAATTCCAAGCTAGTTGGAATGACCATAGGACATTTCATATATTTTTTTAAAAATAAAGCAATTAATGTTAGGGTTAGTTACAGGGTGAGGGTGAGAATGAAGAGTTTCCTAAAAAATGTAATATCTTTTACTGTAACATATACTATAGTGGAAAGAGCCCAGAGCTGGAATTTAGTAAAATGGCTCTGATTTTGGTTTTCTTTTTTTTTTAATTTTTTATTAAATCTTTATTGTTCAGATTATTACATTTGTTCCTCTTTTTTCCCCCCATAACTCCCCTAGTTCCCACCCCACCTTCTGCCCTCACTCCCCACCCTCTGTCCTCATCCATAGGTGCACGATTTTTGTCCAGTCTCTTCCCGCATGTCCCACACCCCTTTTCCCCCCAAGAATAGTCAGTCCAATCCTTTTCTATGTCCCTGATTCTATTATGATCACCAGATTATTTATTCACTTGATTCTTAGATTCAATTGTTGATAGATGCATGTTTGTTGTTCGTAATTTGTATCTTTACCTTTTTCTTCTTCTTCCTCTTCTTAAAGGATACCTCTCAGCATTTCATATAATACTGGTTTGGTGGTGATGAACTCCTTTAGCTTTTCCTTATCTGTGAAGCTCTTTATCTGACCTTCAATTCTGAATGATAGCTTTGCTGGATAAAGTAATCTTGGTCGTAGGTTCTTGCTATTCATCACTTTGAATATTTCTTGCCACTCCCTTCTGGCCTGCAAAGTTTCTGTTGAGAAATCAGCTGACAGTCGTATGGGTATTCCCTTGTAGGTAACTGAGTTTCTTTCTCTTGCTGCCTTTAAGATTCTCTCTTTGTCTTTTGCTCTTGGCATTTTAATTATGATGTGTCTTGGTGTGGTCCTCTTTGGATTCCTTTTGTTTGGGGTTCTCTGCGCTTCCTGGACCTGAAGTCTATTTCTTTCACCAGGTGGGGGAAGTTTTCTGTCATTATTTCTTCAAATAGGTTTTCAATATCTTGCTCTCTCTCTTCTTCTGGCACCACTATAATTCTGATGTTGGTACACTTGAAGCTGTCCCAGAGGCTCCTTAAACTATCTTCATATTTTTGGATTCTTTTTTCATTTTGCTTTTCCGGTTGGGTGTTTTTGGCTTCTTCGCTTTTCAAATCTTTGACTTGATTCTTGCGCTCCTCTGGTCTGCTGTTGGGAGTCTGTATAATATTCTTTACTTCAGTCGGTGTATGCTTAGTTTCTAGTTGGTTCTTTATCATAGCATCGAGGGTCTCATTAGATTTCTTGTAGATCTCAATAGCTTTATCGGCGGCTTCTAGACAGTTCTTGAGAGCCCTTAAAAGTGTGGTTCTGAACTCTATATCCTCCATGGACAATTCTGTCCTGTTTCTTTGTCTCCGCATTTTTTATGCTTTCTTGGTGCACCCCCTAGTGGTCTTTGTGTGCTGTCTTGTTGTAGTTAAGCCTTGATTGTTGTCGTTGATACTGGGGGGATTTGACCTCCAGGCCAGTTGGCTGTGAGAATTAGCTGTGTCTGCAGTGGGGAAACTTCTGTCCCCTGGGGAGGTGCTAATCTAGCCTTTGACTGAGGCTATCTGGCAAATGGCTCTGTGCAGGGCTTGGGCGGGGCGGGTCTCACGGGATCAAACAGCGCGGGCGGAGCGAGCAGTTATGGCTGCTCTCAGTTCCGTCCCTAGGGGCTCTGCCTCACCGAGTCCCAGCAACCGCTGTAAACCTCGGAGAGAAAGCTGCCTTCGAGTTCCGACTGAAGCCAGACAGTCCCGTTTCTCCCGTTTGAGTCTGGGTCCCTAGGGACTCGCCCAGCTCTGGAGCTCAGAGTCTGAAACTCCCTCCCGATTGAAAACAACAACTGCGCCCTCCGCGCCAGCCCACTCTGCGAGCAGTCCGCACCTGAGAATTTCACTTCAGCACTGCACCTCTGAGTCTGGGTATGATATTCTCTTTCCTCCTAGTTGTAGAATTTCCATTCAGCCAGCCTTCCTGTGGTTCTGGATGATGTCCGTTCCATCTTTTAGGTGTAATTTGAATTGGTTGCTCGAGGCAGCAATCTCCAGCGTTAACCTATGCCGCCATCTTGGATTTCCTGATTTTGGTTTTCTACGACAAACTGTTCACAAGGTTACTGAATTTCTCCCAATTTCAATTTTTTTTTCTTTAAAAGTCAGGGTTGGTCTAATCAATGAAGATTCCTCTAGCTCTGTTATTCTTTGTACTCTGCCACATTGAATCTGCTGTCATAGCCATGAATAGCCCTAGCTTCATCCAATCAGGTCCACTTATTCAGTGGTTCTCAACCTTCTGGCCCTTTAAATACAGTTCCTCATGTTGTGACCCAACCATGATTATTTTCATTGCTACTTCATAACTGTAATGTTGCTACTATTATGAATCGTAATGTAAACATCTGATATGCAGGATGGTCTTAGGCAACCCCTGTGAAAGGGTCATTTGACCGCCAAAGGAGTCGCTACCCACAGGTTGAGAACCGCTGCACTCATGACAGCAGCACTGGACTATGATGGTCAGCCATCATAGCTGAGTTGATACTCCCAACCCTGTGCAACCCTGTTCTTGTCTCCCATCTACTTCACACAAAATATGTCCTCACTACCCAGTTTTCAAACTTGCCTTCATCTAACATTTCCTCTACCCCCTTTTCTGTTTAATTCAGTTATCCTCCTTTATACTATGCCTTTTAAAAATATCCATTATTCTATTAACAATAATAATAAATGATCACCTATAAAGTACCTGTCATTTTTATTATAACATTTCAAATCCTTAAATTAACCTTTTAACACATGCACGCACGCGCAGAAACACACACACACACACACACACACACACACACAGTCCCAAAAAATGTATAAACACTGAATAATTATTAATTCCAACGGGTTAAATCTGAAAAGAAAGAAACATCAATTGAGCTATCAGCTGTTAAAGTGTGTTTACATTTTTGGGGACACCCTGTACTCGTATATATACCATGTGAATTTTACAGATGAGGGACCTGAGTGTCTGATAACTTGTGTTACTAATCTGGAATCATATAGCTAATTAATAGTAAAATTGGGATCCAACCCTTCATAGGTATTGTTCTTTTTAATAAATAATGCTGCCTTAAAATTTTTCCTTCCTATATTTTCAACATTTTCCCCAAACACTCTTCAACCAATTAGAGGAATGACCTCTAGAATCTTTCTTAAAGGAAGGGTAGTAATCTCTTCTTCATCTGCGAACATCACCTGAACTTCTAAACATTCTTTGACAACCTTGCATTCAACAAACCCCTATTCCTTTGAAGTCCATACCTACCTTCCACACCAGCCTCTTCCTCTCCTGTGGCTATGCTCCAGTGACCTGGAGATAACTTCTTCACATTTCAGAATACTTGGAATTTGGATACAGTTTTTATACTAATTTTTTCAAGTTCCTGAGAGAATGATCCAACTTATACCTGTCTCAATAAGAAGGAAATGAGACATCTATGGAGGCTAAATGGTGATGTGGGCAGGACCTCATAAGACCAGAATCTGGTCTTCTGCTTTATAGATTCAGACACTGAATTTCCTCAGCCTGGCCGAATGTGAGCAGAATCAAGGGAAATGACTCTACCACCAAACACACAGGAATCTGTTTGTAAATAGCATAGCAATTTCTTAATTGGTAATAAAGCATATGCTTTCCCTGAGACATGATTATGTCTGCCTCCTACACTTCCTTTGAATCATGGTGAGTAGGGGCATAAGGCTGCTAAAAGAAAACAAATTCATCCAAATTACAAATCAGTATCTTAAGTATTATAATAAAGGACTACACAGGAGCTATGGGGGGGGGGACAATAACAGGATTTTCTTATTCAGAATAAAAGGGTCAGAAAAGAAAGACCTTCAAGGGTAGTAGATACTTGAGTTGGAGTTTGAATAATGAATAAGAGCCAAAGTAGGAAACGAGTGCCATGAGCACACAGCATAATGGACAAGAACAAGGTAAAACTTAAAGGCAACATTGTGACACAGCAAGAGACATCATTCCCAATGACTGGAGCTTAGGGGTGGGATGGTCAAGGTGGACATTGGAGAGATGGTAACTTTGTGTAGAGGATATAGAAATTGAGACAGGAGACACAGCCATGAATTAACAGTAAAGGGCCTCATAGGCCATGCTATCTCTTCACTTCCCTGGCATTTACTACCATCCATAGTCTAATGACTCCTATATTTATGCCTTCAGCTCAGGTTGTATCTAGAGCCTCATATGATACAGACAATAGCTGACTGGATCTCTCCAGCAAAATATTGTGCAGACATTGCAAACAGCATATTCAAATCAGATATATTTTCTGCAAACTTACTCTTTCTTTAAAATTCCACAGGAAACCCAATTTCCCCGGCTGAAATACACAATATTTTTGACACCTCCCAGTCTCTTAGATCTAGTAATTGTCAATAAAAGGGTTTATTTTAATAAAGAAGAAATGAATTGATAAACCATCATAAAATAGTAGTTATTTTGAATATTTACTCCTTCGGAATAGACTTTGACATTTGAAACATTTAATTTCAAATTGTTATTTTAAAATATGATAGTGTATTAGTATTTTAGAAAAGTAGAGTCTTAAGGTAGATCAGAGAAAAACATAACTAGTGATGTTTCAGCTATTGTAGAAAAATGATATAGTGAAATCACAAACAAATAATATAATTCCTTTTAAAATCAACAGATAGCAGCAATGAGGAAAGAATATTTTTTGCATGCCTGGAACATATTTGAATTAGTAATTGCATTAATTGGCATCGTAGATGTAATAATTGTTGAGGCAGAGACCATTTATGACATTTTTGATTTGGATGAAATAGTGGTGTTTATTAAAGCTATTCGACTTCTTCGCGTACTACGCATTTTGAAGGTAAAGAACTATTAAATTATGCAATTTCAAATTTCTTCTCATAGGTCTTATATAATATAAGCTAAAACAAGTTGATGAGTTGTATGGCTCCCACTTCTGTTGGGCTGATGTCTATGTTTCAAATTTTAGATTCCTTTGACAAATTAAGTTTTATAACATAAATATTCAAATTATATTAGAAATTCATTTAGTACATGGAAGTATAGAAATACTCAACGTAGCTTTTTCTTTGAATAGAGAGTACATGAAAAGTTCCATCTCTCTATATAAAAGCCTAAGTGACCATCCGAATGTTCAACTGTCCAACAGGTAGCTATGATGTGCACTGACCACCAGGGGGCAGATGCTCAATGCAGGAGCTGTCAAGCTACAGAAACTTGGCAGTGGCAGGGGTGGGCAAACTTTTTTGACTCGAGGGCCACAGTGGGTTCTTAAACTGGACCAGAGGGCCGGAACAAAAGCATGGATGGAGTGTTTGTGTGAACTAATATAAATTCAAAGTAAACATCATTACATAAAAGGGTACGGTCTTCTTTTTTTTTTTAGTTTTATTCATTTCAAACGGGCCAGATCTGGCCTGCGGGCCGTAGTTTGCCCACGGCTGTAATCTAGAGAGATGCACCCAGAACCAAAGAGGAGGGAGCCTGATTCTGGGGTGCATCACCCAAGAACCACCCTCTCACAACCCGGGACCCCCTCAGGGGATGTTGGAGAGCGGGTTTCAGCCCGATCCCCGCAGGCCAGGCCAAGGGATCCCACCTGCCAGAGGGACCCCACTCCCTCCACAGATGACCTTTGAGCTATGGTGCTGCCCCAGGTGTGGCCATCCAGGAAGGGACTGTAGGAGGTTGACTCCAGAGCCTGTCCAGCCCGTCTTGCCCAGTCCCACCCCACTGGCCACCTTCTACTTAATTTCCTTCCAATGTGCACAAATCTGTGCAGTGGGTCACTAGTATTAATATAAGTACAAATTAACCCCCAAGTAATGTTTATTATTATAGATGGCTGGAATAAAAGATTCCCATATTTTATGACAACAACAAAATATAGCCAAGCAAATCATTTATGGTGACAAAACAAATAAAAATCAAGAAACCAAAAAATATACATTTTGTGTTATATAAATGTATAGTATTATAGAATCACAGCATCAAAAATTACTTTTGATTGTCAAATATATCTCTCTGTAACAAGTATGATGGGTAGTTATTTTCTGTATGATTATTTCACTTATATAACACTCCCTCTATCACAAAGTGCTAGAAATATATACATTTTTATATACACAGACATATAAGTAAATATATATACACAGATATTCTCTTCTCTCTCTCTCTGCCTTTTTCTCTATTCATACACAAACAAGACACATATACATATAAGCACTGTGGGAGATACAAAGCTAAATAAGATATATTTCATCTAGATATAAAGCTAACAGATTAGAATCTTTATATTTAAAACTTTCATACACGTTTAAAAATACTTTTGCTATTGAGAGGCATAAGCCATCCAGGTATAAAAGTATGCAACTAGTAGCCTTTTCCTTTTTAGTATTATATGAGACCATAAGTTACACTAATTTGCATTTTGACATGAGGAAGGCAAAGCTTGTGCATTCCAGTGACTAGTTAATTCTTTTTGATAGAAGATATACAAAGTTAACCAAATACTTTAAGTGAAGAAATTGATAAGCCACATAAGAAAAGCTTTTTTATATATCCAGAAAATTGTTAACCATAGTGGGCCCTTGAAATATGAAGACAAATTAGATATAGTCTCTGCCCCCAGACAGCTTATTGAAGAAGAGTTGGGTAAGTACAAAACAGTAGTATGCACAGAATACTAGTGAGACATAAAAGACTTTCTTTACTAGTTGACACTTGAACTGAATCTTGAAGGATGCATGCATATGAGCTCCTTGAGGATTAATGGCAGGTGGTTGGAAGGCAGAGTATGAAGATAATGGAGCACAGCCAGGAAAACAGGGAGCAGCCAACTCTGTTGAAGTTAGAGGACTGCACAATGGTGACAGATTACCTGGAGATTTACACCCTCAGCAACAAGACAGTGAGAAGTTAATTGTGGGGTCCAAGAGCAAGTATACACTGAGTGGCCAGATTATTATGATCACCTGACGTTTGTAGGCAAATTAGTTATAATTTCGTGCTGAAGTTGCTAGAGGGCCAGATCATTATAAATAGGGAAGCAGTTTGTTTACGACGACAGTAGAAATGATTTTTTTTCTGAAGATATGGGTAAACAACACAATTTAACAGCCTTTGAACGGGAGATACACACACACACACACACACACACACACACACACACACTGAGTGGACAGATTATTAT